GAGTTGGTGATGGACAGGGAGGCCTGGTGTCTTGCAGTCCATGGGGTCACCAAGAGTTGGACATGACTGAGCGACTGAACTGACTTGAAAGAATTTAAGATAATCTCATACAATACTGGGTAGAGCACAAAAGATTAAAGTTACATTTAAAACGTTAATTGCATCTCACTGTTCTCCACAGTGGCTATGCCAATTTTTGGTGTAAGAAGTTTCCCTTTTTCCACACCCTCGCCAGTATTTATTATTGTAGACTTAATGATGATAGTCTAAAAAAACTGAAAAGAGAATTACCATATGATTCAGAAGCCCCACTCCTGGAGATAAATCCAGAGAAAATCATACTTGATAAGATATATGTACCCCAATGTTCACCACAGCACTATTTACACTAACCACGACATGGAACCAACCTGAATGTCCATCGACAGATGAATGGATAAAGAAAATATGGCACATATATACAATGGAATACTACTTAGCCATAAAAAGAAATTGAATAATGCCACTTGCAGCAACATGGGTGGACACAGAGATGAACACATTAAGGTAAGGAAATCAGAGAAAGACAAATATGGTATCACTTATATGTGTAATCTTAAAAAATTATGGAATGAACTTATTTACAAGACAGAAACAGACTCACAGACCTAGGAAACAAACTTATGGTTACCAAAGGGGAAAGGGAGGGAGGGAGCGAGGGATCAGTGAGGAATTTGGGAGCAACATACATAAACCAGTATAGAAAAAAGTTAAACAACAAGGACCTACTATATAGCATAGGGAACTATAGTCAGAATTCTGTAATAACCTATACAGGAAAAGAATCTGAAAAAGATTATGTGTGTGTGTGCATAAACTGAATAACTTTGCAGTACACCTGAAACTAACAACACTGTAAATCATCTATACTTCAATTTAAAAAAGTTAACTGCATCAAAAACACAATGCCTGCATGACGGCAGAAGTTACCAAATAGCAACTAATGCATACAAAACCCGATAGAGGACTTCCCTGGTGGTCCAGTAGCGGAGAGTCCTCCCATCAGTGCAGGAGACCCACTTCGACCCCTCGTCTGGGAGGATTCCACATGCCAGAGGGCAACTAAGCCAGCGCACCATAACTGCTGAAACCCACATGCCCTAGAACCCATTCTCTGCAACAACAGAAGCCGCCACAATGAGAAGCCAGTGCACGGCAACTAGAGAGTAGCCCCCGCTTGCAGCAACTAGAGAAAGGCCATGCATAGCAAGTAAGACCCAGCACAGCCAAAAGGAATAAATACCAATTTTGATAGATACATATTAGTCTTGAATAGCTAAATTAATACCTTGCTACTCAATGGGTTTACTTCTATCTGCATCACTTTTAAGATTTTCAGATGGTCTGCAGAGTTTTAGGCTCTCCTCCCAAATTACTTAATTCTAGTCTTTAGAATTTTAACAAGATCTCCATATGCTTCCTATGTATATCAAAGTTTGAGAAGCACTGGCCTAAAACAAGGGTTGGTAAATTGGTAATGTTACATTTTGCAAGCTATTAGGTCTCTTTTTTAACTATTCAACTATACTGCTTACCATGAAGATAAAAAGGTCAACACATAAGAAAGTATAATTAAAGATGTATATATACCTCGAAAAAACAAGAGCCCCAAAATACCTAAGGCAAGAAAATGACAAAATTGAGAAACACACAATCTAGTAATTTAACAGAGATTTTCAGCATCACTCTCTCAGAATGAAACAGAAAATCAGCAAAGACATAAATACATGACCACCACCACCAACCAACTTAACCTAGCTGATATTTATAGAATGCTTCAATCAACAACAGCAGCAACTTATTCTTATTCTTCTTAATTAAACATGATGTATTCTCCAGAAGGGCGCTTCCCTGATGGCTCAGCAGGTAAAGAATCTGCCTGCAATGCAGGAGACAAAGGAGGTGCGGGTTTGATTTCTGGGCTGGGAAGAGCCCCTGGAGAAGGAAAGGGCAACCCCACCCAAGTATTCTTGCCTGGGAAATTCCCAAGGACATACGAGCAGGGTGGGCTACAGTCCATGGGGTTCCAAGAGTCAGACCTAACTTAGCGACTAAGCACACACACATTTTCCAGAATATAACACATGACAGACTACAAAACAAGTTTCAGCAAAACACTAAAATCATAGAAACTATGTTCTCCAGTCACCTGGACTTATATTAGAAATCAATAATAGAAAAAATCAGTCCTGGGTGTTCACTGGAAGGACTGATGTTGAAGCTGAAACTCCAATACTTTGGCCACCTGATATGAATAGCTGACTCATTTGAAAAGACCCTGATGCTGGGAAAGATTGAGGGCAGAAGGAGAAGGGGATGACAGAGGATAAGATGGTTGGATGGCATCACCGACTCAATGGACATGGGTTTGGGTGGAATCTGGGAGTTGGTGATGGACAGGAAGGCCTGGTGTGCTGCGGTTCATGGGGTTGCAAAGAGTCGGACACGACTGAGTGACTGTAAACTGAACTGAATGCTTAAATTCATTGGAAAATTAACTTGAGAAATAAAAATTCTAGTGTAATTATTAAGCTATTCAAAATGCTGATAAACTGCAAGTAAATAATTTCCCTAATAATTTAGTGAATAAAAATATAAAATAATAAATACAAAACAAATAATCATTTGTTTCAAACATTAGTTATTGATTAAGCACCACAAGTTAGATATGACTGACATTGTACCCATTGTAGGTTTGTGTGTATGTATGAAAAATGCATATAATATATGCTAACATACATGTTTTATGTATGTTTATAGAAATATATAAATCTATACAAAAATAGAAGTAGCTGTCCTTTTTAAATTAGATGTGTTTTGTNAGACAAGAACACTGGAGTGGGTTGCCATTTCCTTCTCCAATGCATGAAAGTGAAAAATGAAAGTGAAGTCGTTCAGTTGTGTCCGACTCTTAGCGATCCCATGGACTGCAGCCTACCAGGCTCCTCTGTCCATGGGATTTTCCAGGCAAGAGTACTGGAGTGGGTTGCCATCTCCTTCTTCAGGGATCTTCCCGACCCATTTCCAAATCATATACCTGATAAAAGGCTTCTAGTAAGAATATTTTAAAAACCCTTAAAATTTAATCATAAGACACAAAACCCAATTTAGATCAAAAAAAGATTTAAACAGATATGTCAGCAAAGGTAAATGAATGACTAACACATACATTAAAAGATACTCAACATCATCAGTCATTAGAGACTGTTTAAATGCATTTAAATTTGATTAAATGCAAATTAAAACCACAATAAGTAACCACTCCACATCTACATTGAGGGGCATTCTCAAGTAGATCAACTTTAACAAAGGAGAATGGAAGGTAAGAATTTGGAAACTGATTGCCTTAAAATTATCTTTGCTGACATACTCAATGGAAAGCTTCTATATACCTCCAGTAGTACACATACCAGGTTTAAGACCACTTGTATAAGAAGAATTTAGTGACTTACAAAATATTTGCTTAACAGGATTTGATGATCTGGAAAGGTATCAAAAACGAATGAGGCTGATTTGGAAATGAAAAAAGAGTAGGGGTGGGAAAGGAGCAAGCAGGAAGGACAGAGAAGAGGAAGTCAAAGGAGAACTCTACCCATCAGCATCGTTCTGATAGTCCTGAGCACTGGCAAATAGTTTTTTGTTTGTTTTTTAAATCATCTGATTGACTCCCACACAGGTTCTGTGCCCTAGCCCGCAAAGACTAATAAAATGCACCGTGCCCAGCCAAGTCTCCACATCTTCTCTTCAAACACTCGTATCTAGAAATCACTCCGTTGCAACTAACTAGTGCAAAGCAGAGAACTGCACCAAGCAAAATTCACCTTCATTTTTGCCCTACATCCCAACCTGATATACTCAAATTATAGTATTATTCAAAGTGTTATAATAATTACTAGTTTACATGCCTGCCTCTTCTGCCTCCCATTAGAGACTGTGCCTTCTTTAATGACAGGAAATTTTCATTCATCTTGAGATCTTCAGCCTCAGTATACTATGGGATTTTCCAGGCAAGAATACTGGAGTGGGTTGCCATTTCCTTCTCCAGTGACCTGTTATATAGAACAGTCAATAAATGTTCAGAGAACAGAAGGCTAATATAAACTACAGATATAAACTCCAACCATTTAATTTGAATGTCTCTGTCTACAAAAGATTTTTTTTTAAACATATTGTAGGCAAATGTATTGTAAAACTAAATTTTTCCTTTCTTAGGAGAGGCTCTAATCTGAAGTTAAGAATTTGACATGGGGACTTCCCTGGTGGTTCAGGGGCTGAGGCTCTGTGCTCGCGCAGGCAGCCTGGGTTCGATCCCTGGTCAAAAAACTAGATCCCACATGCCACAACTAAGAGTCCAAAGACCACAACTAAAGATTCTGCATGTCTCAACGAAGACTGAAGATCCAACATGCCACAACTAAGATCCAGTGCAGCCAGATAAATTAAAAAATCCTTTAAAAAAAAGAATGATATGTTATTACATATCTAATCAACTTCTATATAAAACCTTTAGGGAAATGAGGAGACCAATGGGCCAGACAGAAGCTAGGCAACCTCATTCTGGCTAGTACCAGTGACTCTGGATATGTTTTCTGACTTTTGGTTTCCTCATGTGTAAAGTGAAAAAACTAAAGAACAATCTCTAAACATGCTTCAAATGTTAATATTCTAAGAATCTTTAACCCATGAAGTGTTTCATTAATCAACAGTCAGAAGACAGGAGGCATATCACATGCTGAGTATTCCTAATATTTTCACACCTCTTGCTAGAAAGCAAATGAAATTATCCTGTCAATATTCATTCAGTACTCAATTCCAGAAAGAAAACTAAATAAGTGCCCCACCCTTGACATCTACTTCTGAAATTATGAGCTTGACCTTTCGGTTCTAATAATCCAACTCTTGAAGCAAACATTTAATCACATATCACAGGCATTGACATAATAAACAAACTGTAAGCTTACCTGCCAGGAAACTGCTCCCAAAATTGCTGTTGCAAGAAGACTGAAAAAAACTAACTGCTCTGAAATTAAGCAAAAATGACGCATCCCTTTGGATGCCATGATTCTGTCAAGGCTATTGTTATCTACTCTGTGGGTAAAACACACCTTATGGCAGTCATTTAATTTGGTATGGAATCCCCAAAGAGTTAAAAGAAAAATAATATGGCAAATCATCCAGAAAATTCCAAAAATGGAGAAGCCTGGTATTACAAAATACCAGAGATGAGTGTCTCTAAGTTTAAATGCTGAAAGAATGAAAAATGTAAGCTCGATCATCCCAGTGAAAACAACTGAAAGTCTTCTGCAAATTCTTCCACGGTACAAAAAGGGTTTCCACCTTTCAGTCACTGAAAGTCCACTAAAATAAATGTCAAGGAAAGGATCGGTTATCAGGCAAATAAAAAAACACGCAAAGGCAACTGGATTTTTGGGAGTTTCCAATGAGGAGAAAAACAGCAAGACTGCAAAAATAACTAAGTTTGGAATAGCTAGAAAAGACTTCATTCTCAGGTCAATAATCAGCATGGCCAAAGCTACAACAAGTAAAATGACACTCAGAGACTTTTCCACCAACATAGTTGTGCTGGCGATGGCAAATCCAACAAGTTCCAGAAATTCAACTGTGGTTAGTAAGGTGGGCCGATGACGGACATAACCAGAAATTCTCTCCACCAAAGAGCATAATATCCTTAATACTATGGAAGTTAGAAGCAAATATTTGGTTGATTCTTCTTTGACATCATTTTTAAAGGATGAATTATCAAGAAAACACAGGAGGCCAAGCAAGAATCCAAACCAAAGATTGGAGAGACTTAAACTTGCTGCTTCCATTGAAAAATAATAATAGAGTATGCTGGCAATTCCGAGAACAAAAAGACCAAGAATAAAAATGACCAAAATTAAGGAATTTGCTGTTTTTTCCCATCTTACATAAAGACCTAAGCATATAGCAACCAATAAATTGATTCTGGCTAAATAGCCAAGGTAACGCACTGAAGAATGCATGTTCACTTCTCTGTTTACTTCTTCCAGTCTTGTCATTGCTAAATAGAGACAATGACTAAAGCAGTAACGCAGTGATTTACACATTAATCTGTCAATCTGGGCTTTCTCCCCACGTTATGAAAATTAACTGCTTGTATTTCATCCAGCAAATCCAATGTATCTGTAACTCCTATTTCAGCACTTTCTCTGGTGGAATTTGTTTACAGTGATCTAAAAAGAAGAAAAAATATTTCACTGTTAATTTTATGTAATTTACCTTTCACATACATCTTTCTTATAAAAAAATAAAGACTAAGTGAGAAATAAACTTTGTTTGGATACCCAGTTTAAAATCTGACTTGCGTGTATCTAAATGGTAACTGTCTCTGGCTTAAAAACTCTTCAGTTTATCCAAACAAAACTGGAGATTTGTTCTACTTATCCTATGTGAGGACTGTATGACTAGGTCGCCATCAACAAAAATTTTTCCAGAGATGGTAAGGAATTCACCTAACCCATTTTTATTCCAATATCCAGTTTTTCAACAACATGCAATGATGAGATATTCAACTCAGCTTAAATATAGCAGATGGGTCTGGAATAGTGGAAAGCTAGTCAACTCAAACAAAATGAGAGATGTCACTATTACCTCTAATTTGAAAAGCACCAGTATCCAATAATAGCAACCATTACCACCTGCCTAAAATCCTCCACATCTTTTTACCAGTTACTTCTAAAATGCTATAAAATCAATCTCAACACTGTTTCACTAATAAACTTATTAGCAGTTTAACTGTATTAAAATTACTCAGTCACTAAAGTTGATCCTTCACTCTCCCTGTACTTTTCCCTCCATTAAGTTACTTTGATGATCAAACATACAATCAATCTCTGTAGCAAACCAATTCTGGACCTTTCTAGTCAAAATTGTAAAACTGAAATGCTGACCAATATTTATCGTAAAGTAAATTTTAAAAACTATGATTTTACTTTTAGAAACTTACCACAACAAGTATTTGTTAAAGGACTCAGATAATTATTTCAATCTTAAGGACCCCTTCGGATTGCACTTCAAACATGACACCATCAAACAAAATGATTTAACTATCTACTAGATAATTCTTCAAATTTTCTAGCATGCTATTTCAGAAGATGATACATGCAAAGGTTTATGGTCACACTGAATATCCACTGAGAACTCAACAAGATTAAAAACTCAAAAAGTAACTACTTTGCAATCAGCTTATTTCTGCTTTCTAATAGCAGGACACTAAAAGAGCCAAGAGAAATATGAGATAACCTGAATTAACCCTGAATTACCCGTACAACTGCAGAAGAATGACATTGGGTGACAACTTTAGGGTCTCTGGGAGGTTCAATGTACTATTACTAACTTACAAGTTCAACAAGTATATTTTTTACAGCTAAGTTTATTTAATTAAGAATTATGATTTTCAATCATTCCTTAAGATACCACACACCACTACAGAAAATATCTTCCTCTGGTATATTTAGGTTTCATCTTTTTACTTAAGTATGAGAAACTGACACTATCTAGAATGCACTACATTCTTAAAAACATCACTTATACCTGCTATATGATCATTCAACAAACATGCTGGAATACACGCCCTCTAAGGGTTGATGGTACAGTCTGGGTTCAGATGACTGAACACTGTTGGAGGAAAAAAAAAGAAAGCACACACCAGACTAAATGGTTGCAACGCAACTCATGAGACATACTTCTGTGTTTCTCTAGTCAAACTCAGTCTCTGGCTGGGCAAGCCTCTCTTCCCTATTCTCAAATCTCTGACATCCACTTCTGACCAAATTCTTACCAGCTGACTTTGTCTCCAATGAAGTCATCAAAAGGGAGCTTACCTGAGTTTCCAACACCACAAACTCACCTATATCTACCATCTCCTGATTTAATAAAAGAAGGCTCTCTGCCCGATCGAAGGCGACATCTTTTAGCTGTACATGTGACTCTTCCTCATGGTCTCTTCCAGAACTTCACACACTCTCCTCTCTTCAAACTCCTACTACTCTTCTCTTATCCACTGGTGCTTAAACATTTGCAAAGCTCTTTTAAAAAATGATACCTATACACACACACACACACAGAAACAAACTAAAACTCAATAATCCCTATCTCCTCCTCCAAGTTCAGTCATCTGCCCTCTCGACAGCCAGTATTTGATTGCTTTACTTCTCACACAACTAAACCACGGTTTCCACTACACAACAACAAACTGCTCTGCCAAGTTCTAAAATAACCTAAATTCCTAAATCCCGTAAGTACTTTACACTCATTATCTTGTACATTCATCAAACAACCTTTGACATTTTTTACTCCCTTCACCTTCTGAAACCTGCCCTTCCTTTAGCTTCCAAAGACCAGTCTTCAGAATTTCTTCCTAACTCACTGATCTCTCCTGTCTCCTTGCAGGTTCTTCATTCTGAATCTATCCTTTGGATGTTCAAACCCAAGCCTAGGCCCTTCTCTCACTATACACTTAAATGTGTATTAATATATATTAACCTACCTGACAGAAATGAAACCACTAGCTCTGTCCTGCACTGAGGTGAAAGCTTAGAAAAAAAAGTAAAGGAAAACACATAAATAATAAAGTATAGCACATTCATAGCATGGAATATATGCAGTTACCCTGTTATGGGCCAAAATCAACATGGCAGAATGTTATTTTTTTAAATGGCTAATTCACGGAAGTTTTCCCCCATTTTGAACTTCTTTAAAAGACAAACATGCTGAATCAAGAGAGTAAAACAACAAAGCAGTGCAATCCTTTTCACTGGGTCTGCCAGGACAAATGATTCAGTGGGAATTACTTGAGAGGCAGATAAAAAAGGAGCACAGAAGAGTCCACTGAATACAGGAAAAGTTAATAATTGTCAGGTCTGTTTTATAGCATCCTATATACTATTCTCACCCTCCTCTCTTTCACCACCTATATTTAATGGTCACCAAGTTCTGCCCACTCTTCTTCTTAGACACTTCTTAAATGTTTCTACTTCTTTCCATTCTCAAGATCACAACCCCAATTTTGGTCACCATCATCTCATGGCTGAATGTCTCCCTGTATCCACCCTTGCCCTTCTCCAAGAAGTATACTTTTTAAAAGCCAATACCTGTCACATCATTCTGTTATGTAAAAGCCTCCAAAGGCTTCCCATCACTCTAAGCAATAAAGTCCAAACTCCTTACAATGCCTTAGGAGGCTTTCCTCACTGGCTGTGAGTAACTCTCCCGCCTCATCTCTTACCATTCTTTGTATTCTAGCCACACGGATCTTTCAATTCTGAACTACACTAATGCTTTTCCCTCTCCAGGTGTACTCCTTTCTCTTCTCTAGACCCCACCATAGGTCCTCACACCTGGCTCACTCCTACTCTTCAGATCTCAGCTTAAATCATTTCTTAGGGCAATCACCTTGACTCATTTATATGATCCACGTATTTTCTGTATAATAGGAAAAATATTGATCATCAACTGTTTAATATCTGCATTCCCCACTAGATCACAAGGTCCCTGAAAGTTTGTCTTCAAAACTGTACACCCAGTGTTTAGCAGAAAGTTTGACTCCAAGTAGATATTCAACAAATACCTGAAGAAATGAAGAATGATACAGAAGTAACTATATTTAATAACGTCAATCAGTTATAGGACGCATATTAATATACAAAGAGAATAAACAAGTTGTCTAATAACCCACAACTACGAAGTCATAGAGCTAAGGGAGATACCATGAAGGTTTGGTTTGTTTCTCGAATCTCAGCCTTACTCCAGCCTTCACTTAACTCCTCCAAATTCCTCCAAACCAGCAAGTTCTCCCTTACGTCCTTCTAGGTAATGGTTCACTGAACCCAAGAAACACTATCACATACATCGTCTTCTGACTCAGAAACTACTTACGTCCAGTCTAGGGGAAGTGTCAAAAGCTGAAAGAATCTACAGAGCAGCCAGGGTCGGGGAATTCCAGTGCTTCGGTTCTATGAATTCATGAAAACAACTCTTTGGACCCATCCCACACGAGGAGAAAGGCACCTCGAATATTAAAGCCCTCAGCAATACGGCAGCAATAAGACTTCTTCTTCCATTCTGCCTCCTTCTAGGAGGAGGCCTTAGAAGCAGCCCGGCTGTTGGGGACCACAAGTGGGCACCCAGCTGAGTGGGGAACCGCTGGGGGATACGGAGAGGCGCCTTGCCTTCCATCCTCCACCCCGCACCATCAACTTCTCCCGAGGCAGGTATCCCTACCTCCTTCCCGCGAGGCCGGTCGGGCGGAGCTCGGGGTCCGCACCACGCCGAGCCCTGCGCGCTGTCCGCGCCTGGGTCTCGCCGCCCCGCCTGTGACCCCTTGTCCCGGACTCGGCCGCTGCTACGAATGCTCTCTCAGCCCTCGGAGTCGGCCCTTGGGCCAGCAGGGGAAAGGAAGGGCCCTTGCGGTTGAGCCTGCGATTCGGAGCGGAGACACGGCACTCCAGGGGAGTCGAGGGCCCCACGCCACAAGCACTAGCACAGGCCAGTCTCATCGGAAACTTTCTCCGTTACTGGCCCGGCAGCGGCCGCCATATTCCCGCCGGCGGATTCGCGACCGTACGGAACGCCGCCGGGGTCAAGCCGCGCGGCGCGCTTCTTCCGCGAGACCCGGCAGCCGGCCCCTGGCCCCGCCCAAAGCCGCCGCACCGCCGCGGGCCCAGGTGCTCTCGCGCCGCAAACGGCTCCACCTGGGGCACGAGCCGTTTTCTTGGCAGACCTAGAGTGGGCGGGGCACTGGTACCTGGAAGACCACGGAGGATCGGCCGTGTCCGTCAAGCTTCTAGGCCGCCGCCTCGGGTTGGACCGAAACTGGGGCAGGATGGGCAGGCCGGCTACCCAAGGACAGTAACTACCGTAGGAGGCGTTGCTGCTCTTAAGTATATATCGCATAATATATGGCTTTGTGTCCACTGAGCGGCTAAAAGCCCAAGCTCCTTAGTCTCGCCTTCAAAGCCCTTCTGGCTTCATTTTCTAATTAAAGCCTCCCTTTAGTCCACTGTCCCGGTCTTTATTCCGCCAACAACGCTGAGCTCCCCAGTCCTGGCCTGCCCCATTCCCCTTCTCCCCCAGTCTCTTACACGTTCACCCGCCCCACAGCCCGAGGGTCGTTCAGAGTGCAGGGCTGATTCTCTTTTGTATCTGAACTCTGAATAAACCTAAGGGGATAATACTCAGAGGCAGAGCAACGCACCAGGCTCCCCCTTCCCTGGGATTCTCCAGGCAAGAACACTGGAGTGGGTTGCCATTTCCTTCTCCAATGCGTGAAAGTGAAGTCGCTCAGTCGTGTCCAACTCTTAGCGACCCCATGGACTGCAGCCTACCAGGCTCATCTGTCCATGGGATTTTCCAGGCAAGAGTACTGGAGTGGGGTGCCGTTGCCTTCTCTGAGTGCCTACAATATCAGTAAGTAAATCTTCCCTAGAGGTGTGTTAATTAGAATAAAAGATTAGAATTTTTCATTGTGGAAATAACTGATGGTCAGGATATGTAGCCAGCTAGACTATTGTACAGGCACTTCTGTCTTTGCACAAATGTGGTATGTCTGTTGAGTCTAGCAGAGGGACACCAGAGTGGCTCCCTTGGAGTCTAGACTTCTGTTTTGTACTTTGTCACAAAATATTGTCTGTGTGCTGTTACTTTGTGTGCCTGCTTATTGATAAATATTTGTGTAGTACTATTCTGTCTGAGACTTGCTTTCATTGTAGGACAATATCTAGGGCCAAGGGAGGATATGAGTACCTCTCACCCATCTTCAGTTGTTGAAACGTGCCAGCATTTACTAAAAGGACCCGACGATTGTGAAGGCCAAGTGCTGCTTATATTCTTTCACCATATTTCTTTCATTTACCATTTCCTATCAACTTGCACTGCCACTATCTGAGCTGAGGTGTTGCCCCTGATTACTTTAGTAACTTCAGTGCTGGTCACCTCCCTGTCAGCCTCACCGCAGCCTAACCCACCACACAGGGCCCCTGACAGTATACTCTGCAGACACTCTGTGTCACTGCTTGGATTAAAATCAATGAGTTATATAAACAAGAAAAATTAAGTCCAAACTTCCTAATCTGGCACCTGAGGCCCTGAGGGGTTTGTTCTAAGCCCCAACCCCTTGCCTGGTGCCATTTATCTTGAAACTAGAAGTATTAGGGTCAGTTCTTGGACATCTGCCACATGGATAGCCAAACACCTGGATATGAAACAGCCACCTGGGAACTATTTCAGTGACAGAATTCAAGCTGCAGTTACTGATGACAGTATAATGATCCTAACTGGGACATCCATTCTTCCAACACTTGCTTCTCTGCAGGCAAGATCTGTGTGCTCCAGGCCAGGAATTTCACCAGAGGAGTTACTTCAGATTAAGAACACCTGTTGAAAATAGAACCATAATTTTTTAAAAAAAGAAGAGGGGGCCTCACCTATGGCAGGGGAAATGGATGATCTTACCATTTCAGTCCTGTGTAGAAAGGGGGTCACAGATAGTTCCTACATTATTTCTAAGTTCTCTCTTATTTTTCTCCTACTTCTTTCAATTCTTCAATCCTGTTCTAGGGCTAAATCAACTCAGGTTCTCCATAAGGATGTAAATATTTTCATCACCATTTTATAGATAAAGTATCCAAGGTCCAGAGAAATTACACTGTCCCAGTGCAGGGACTTAAACCTCGGTCTTTGGGCTTGAAGTCCTAGGCCATCAATTACAACTTTCTACCATTCCCCTCTACAGGAAACACAGTCTCATCGTTGCTGTTCAGAGTAAGCAGGGAAGGATTACAGTGTTCAGTCCTGGTACACTTACAGTAATCATCCGGAAGCTCTTTAGCCTACATACCCGTACAGTCCAGATCAACTAGAGTCACCTCTGCAGTCAGTCCCAGGTAGTGCGTTTTATTTTATTTTATTTTTTTTAAAAACACTAAATTAAAATACATTTTTATTTTTTATTTTTTTTCCATTTATTTTTATTAGTTGGAGGCTAATTACTTTACAACATTGCAGTGGTTTTTGTCATACATTGAAATGAATTAGCCATGGATTTACATGTATTCCCCATCCCGGTCCCCCCTCCCACCTCCCTCTCCACCCGATCCCTCTGGGTCTTCCCAGTGCACCAGGCC